TCGGAACGGCATTCTTGTACGGAACTTTGTCGATGGGTGGTCCGGCGGCAATCCCACATAAGACACTAGTTTTTTCAAACCTCGCCGACCTCTCCTAACTGCTCGTCCGACCAATACAGATTTTCGGTTGATATTAAATTGTCTGCCCGACTTTTTGGAAGATGGAAATTGATCATATTTGCTGACAAAATTTTACCCTCTTGGTTTGAATACTCAAAGTGTGAACCCCATTGTACTGTCGGCAATGCGTTTCTGTTATAGGTAAAGTTTCGCTTCCTCTGAACTGCGTTTTGAGTTTTTCCTTGGGGCCTCTATTTGTGATTGATCAATAATCAGGAGCCAGAGTTGATATGACCGCGTCGTCTTCAGTGTGCACTGTTTCCGTCGTGAAGGGATTATGCAAATTACACAATAAGTCAATGTTATTGTTTGCGTCCAGACTTTTATCTCAAAAATAAAGTGTACAGTATCCCGTTATACAAGTAGTTTTTCTTATTTTTTTAAAAAAAAAGGTATTCTAGATGTGTTTCAGTTTTAATTTTGATAAAATTATGAGCCCAATAACTTTACAAAAGTAATATCAAAAAAAGAAAAATTCCCGAAAATAACTCTACCGCATCCTTAAGCCACATAGACTACCAACTCTTGATTTGGGGCTACCATTTTCAAAATTTAGTAGCCCGTCTGGGCTACTAGAAATTTACAAAATCATAACACTGTGTTTTTACATTCACAATTTTTTATGGATGTTCTTTATAAATTGAGCAATGTGACATTTATTTGTTCTCACTTTAGTTTACATCATTGTTCTAAAGACGTACCAAACCTGATGGACAACCAAATATAACCATTTGACGACCATCTTTTAAAACTAGTAGCCCAGCAGGCTTCCAAGAAATGAACATGCAGCTTTGTATACATGGAGATATGACATTAAATAACTGCAACTTTCTCATCTGAGTCACAGCATGGAGCTTTGTAGGAACCAGTACTCTCAATCTTGAGATTGCCATGTAAACTGACGTTAACCATATTTTGAAATCCATGCTCAGATCAGTGTACCCTTTTCTGCTGACTAGACTTGATTTTGGCATTCAAAGATAATTTGTATTTCTTCTTTGAATCAGAATTTTGGTTTATTTATTTCTATTTAGAAAAAACTTGTGAAACTTCAGTCAGAGCTCAATAATGAAGAAGGGATTTCACTCATCAAACAGAAGGTGGAGAGGATAAAAAAGAAACGGGTAAGCGTCTGTAAACTTATTAGTAATAATTACTGATATGCATTTGCATTAAGAGTTGGTCAATAGAATCTCTGGGGCCGGGTGACATTTTGAAGCAACAAAAAAAGTCAGTCTGCTTTCACTGTCAAATCATTTTACTGCTTTATTGTAAAGAATTGCTATAGTACCGGTACTTAAAATAATTAGTGATGTTTCAGTGAGAATAAAATCCTGCAAAATTACCTTTTTTTTCTTATATTTTACATTCAACGCATCAAAAATCAGTGAAAATAAATTCTATACAAAACACCCAAAAAATCTTTTCAGTGAAAATTAATTCCAGCTAAAATAAAATATTTTACAGTACATTGTATATGTGATAAATTTGTTGAAGATACCACTATACAAGAAATCATGTGAAAACTTTATAAACCTTTTATTTATTTCAAATGACGATTGAAAACAACTTGAACTAATCACTATGCTTCAGCAGATGCTAAGTTAATGACCAAATATGGACATGTGATCTCATTTAAAATACTGTAGAATACTTTATTTCCAATTGGAATTTATTTTCGCTATTTTCGCTGAAGGGATGATTCCGTGAAAATAATATCCAGCGAATATACTTTTTTCCCTATATTTCACATTAAACTCATGAAAAATCAGTGAAAATAAATTCCAAGCAAAATGCCCAAAAAGCCTTTTCAGCGAAAATTAATTCTAGCGAAAATAAAGTATTCCACAGTACATAAAACCTTAGATATTATATTGTAAACTAGATCTGATCAACATATTTAATGACCTTACGGTATATGATCATCTGATCTCATTAAAAATACATTTTATATCTGGAGCACTATTACAGATACACCTGACCATACTTATTCGACTTAGTGCCCAGGGTACTCAGCTCCAAAAGGCATGTATTTTAGGACAATGGGTGCCTAGCCGAGCACTCCCTCTTAAAAAAGTATGCAAAAGTTTTAGTTCAGATTGACGGAAATTTAATGTCACTTTGGAAAACATAAAATTGAGAAATTAGTTGCATCATTGATTTTCACTACACTTTTACAATAAAAAAACAGAAATTGTCACAAAAAACATGCACATTTTATTACAATATTAATTATGTATTTATTTATTTATGTTAATGTGAAAATGAATCATTGATGTTGAAATATACATCTTTTGGAATTGATTTAGGCAAAAAAATTACACAATATAAAAAAAAAATCTATTAGCAATTTTTGAAAGGTGAAGAGAATTTATAGTATATATATTCAGAAAACTCGGATGATGATCAAAGACCAGTTTTTATGGCTATAAACAAATTTGGGACATTTTGGAGGGAATGGTACTTATCTGAACTTGTCCGCCAAAATAGAAAAATTAATAAATTTGGGGTGGGCGCTTAGTTGAACATGGGTGCAGAGTCGGGCGTGTGAATTTTATAGAGGGAGGATCTATGTTTTGCATGAATTGGCCGTGATTGAGAGAAGGATATAGCATGAAATTTATTTTGTTTAAATATAACGCAAGTGTCTACCATGGTAAATGTTTTATAAATTTCCATAAAAAGCATTGGTGCCAAAGTAAATTTCAGTGTGTAGACAAACATGTTTTTTTGCTGAAATACACAACTCCTTAGACATCTAACAATTTGTGGACATCCTAAAATTTATGTTGATTTTCTGTAGGCACGGTCAAGACAAGCAAGAAAAAGAAAGTGTGAAGAGAATGAAGAGGCTTTAAAAAACAGAGAAGAACTTAACAAGAAAATGGATGACCTGTTTAACAAGGAACTGGAAAGAAAATTAGAGGAAACTAGGGTGAGATGCCATTAATCTCTTGCACACCATGTTCCACACCCATGGTCGTTACATAATCTCAGGGTCAATTTCAAGTCTTTGCATGTGATTGGTGGGAAGATACCTTATTCTGAAATTTTCTAGTTGACATTTGTAACAGAGGAACTGTACAATATGGATACATACACAGCAGTGGACATAGTGAACTAGTATAAAAGTGTCATAAAGCATGTGTAAACAGTACAGACACTTCTAAAAGCAGTACCGGTAGTTACAAATGTATAATTTAGTTTTTTGATGACAGCCAGAGCTCTTGGTATAGGTGATTGTCTATCGTCGCCCCATGTCCAGTTTTTTTTTCAAACAACCTCTTTTTAAAAGCCATTAACTTTATTGCTTTTATACTCGGTACATTTGTTCCTTGGGTGGACCTCTATGAGATTTTATCATTTTGCGACGATATCTTCAATTCTCTATTTTTAATGAATTTGTTTGGTAAAAAATGTTATTGCTCTGCTGAAACTATTTCGACTACCAGGTAGCTTATTTAAATGTGTCATTACTTTGTTATACCAGGAAAAAGCTCTTCGAGAGGAAATTGACAAGACAACTTTTGAAATAAGACAAAAGAAATCAGAAGCTACTAAAGCTTTGAAAGTGTTGAAATCATTGCGGAAGTTGAGACAGCTACGAAAGGATGCCGCTGAGAAGAAAGGTAACTAAGTTCAGTCAGGTTGTCTCTTATATCTTATTGAAACTCATTAACTATTCGAATGTCAGATTTTACACGTTTTTATGGGTTTTTTTTCTATAATTTCAAAATCATGGCTTAGTCTCTCTGCATGCATCTGTGTGTTCATGCATGTGTGCATCCGAAGCAGTATCTCTTCTGAACTAATTATCTTCAGTCTACTCATACACTTAATACCTTATCCAATACATATGCACATGTGATAATTTTGTGATTCAGTCAAAGATGACTGACTGGCAGCCATTTTTAATGTTACACTCAAATCAAATATTTTATTTGATGCAACTTTGATTTGACTTTGAAATGGCTGAACAAATTTAATTTCAGACATCAATCTTGTACATGCTTTGAGCAATACATTTCAAACAATATACCTAGACAGCACATTATAACATACATACACACATACTATGAATTTAATTGTTAAAAACACTAAAATCAGGTATTTTGGCAAACTTGCTAGATAGATGTCCCTTTGATTTGTAAATTCAACTCAAAATGACCAATGGTCTGCCATTTTGCTTTTGACAAATTCTCTTCCAGACAGACATGTTTATCTCGTACATGCTACTTTAAACTTTATACCTAGATTATCCATCATGGCACACATACAATAATGTTGTCATCTGATCAAAGATGGCTGACTGCTGACTATTTCAGTTTGACATGTCCAGAACTACCCCTTTGGGACACGTGTTGGGTGGAAGGAGGAACTATTACTTGAGGTTGATGTACATCACTTTTGTTTGTAAAGTCTTCTCAAAATAGCCGACTCAATCCATCTATCAGGTCACTCAAGTACTTCACAACTCTTGAAGCTATAAAATAGCAATCTAAAAAAATGTTCTCTATGCATATGACCAGAAGCTAAATTATTCTTTAATTGTGTAGAGAATTGGTCTATAAGCAATGTTTATATACGGCGTAGTTTACACAATGTAGGTATAGACTAACAAGAAAACAAAGTACAATAATAGAAGTGTAAAATAGGCACATGCTCAACTCAGTGTTGCTTTAACATGTAAAGTAACTTTAGCCAAGAACCAAATTAAAAAGTTTGTAATAACTTTCGCGCCTGAATTTGGGTGATTTTGCTGTGCAGCAATCAAGTTATACTCTTATCATGAAATCCTGTTTTGAATTATCTTTGTGATGCGTGTCCAATGCAACTACCGGTAACGTAATATGATGTTTGAAATCTGTTCAGCCACAGTGTCATTGTTAATAAAAGAATTATTCTATTACTTGTGAAAGGAGAAACTTTATGGTTATGTAGGATACAAAGTGTCTGATGGTGTTTGCATTATAGACCAATTGCTTCACATTTAATTTTGTGATATGGTCAGCAAAACATTCCATATATTTATATGTGATTTAACAAGGGTAATTATTACACATAATATTATAACTTCTAAAACCCAAAATTTAATAATCTGTATAGGCAGTCTTATGCCCATCTTTCTTATATAAATAAGAAAAACACGTTCAGACTATTTTTCCAGCTATGTGGAGAGGGGGTACATGTATGGAACCTGGCCCTGAAGGATGCTTAACAAAATGTGAAATTACAGCACACTCACCAAGTGTTTATGATAAAACATTCTACTTATTAGTACCGCTATTTATTGTAGTTGAAATACAATTTATCTCTTAAGGTAGAAGCCTACTCATAAATTAAAAAAACACAGAATTTATTCATTTTGCAATAAATTGTACTCCAAGGCAATATAAGGATATTGACCTAAAAAAAGTTGGGGGTCACCAGCCCTTTTTTTTGAGTAATTGATGGTTGTGTTTTAGTGTAAAGTCGCCATTTTGACACAATTATAACACTTTTACCACATGTTCCTATAGCCGAGATATTATGCAATATCTCAAAATTTAACCTGGTGACATAGGTTGAAAAAAATCATATATTGTTAATGATGGAATACTTTTTGTTGTTCTGAATTATTTAAAAAATCTTTGTTTTAAAAAATGTCAAGAAATGCAATTTCATTGTGTTCTATGAAATTGTTCTAAAAATAGCAATTTTCAAGAAATATTAGGACATGTTTCTCAAAAAGCATAACTGTAACCACACAATAATGCTATTTCATTGTACCATGGGACATTAGCTTCATGATTGTACATAATAAACTAATGAACATTGTCATGCAATTTTTGAACAATTTTGTCAAAAATTATGACTAGGCTTCTACCTTAAAACTACTGACCAACCATGAAAACAGACTAGTTTTATTAACAATGGGATAAGGTTACTTACATGTAGCAAGTAGTAAATTAATTTTGATCTGCTCTAGGTAATTATTTAAATATTTATTTGACATTCTATATAATTATATATTCATGACATTCTTGTTTATGCATGCATGTGCTGGTAGTAAATTGCTATATTTGTTCTACTTTGGTACATAACTGTACTATTGTTCACAAAATCTAGGCCTTTTTTTTATTTACAGCTTATATTTATAAATATCCTGTGCAAACATGTTTACATGCACACAAACAATACATATGTGCAATAACAACTTTGAGAAAAAAATATATGTATTTATTTTTAAAATTGATTTATATAAAACCCAGCTCATATATATATTTAGCATCCTTTCATATGACTTATAGCATTTATCTGTCGCCAAAATAACTCCAGCATATAATAAAACTTCACCAAAATAAAGCATTTTTGCCATTCCAGAAACGGATCTCAGTTGTGTATGGACAGATTTAGTTCAAGCTTGGTACATACATCGCACAGTATAGGACTTTGATGTTTGTTTTTCATTTCCAATTCAAAATGACCGATTTATGACCATTTTGTTTTAATAAATCTTATTGTGAAGCAATATCTGTGACATGGTATGACCATTCATATTTCAAATAATATATGTAAATCACGTCACACATATGCATGTATTCAATTGATAATACCATTCAATATGGCCGAATAGTGAACATTCTTAAAAAATCATTAAAATCAAACATTCTGGGGGGAGGGTTCGAATGGTGTGTGGTATTTTTGAAGAAATGTACACTTTCTGTTTTTTGTGTGTTTTCTACAGGCTATCATACAACGCTAGAATCATCAAAAACTTTTGACCTTAGGATCCAATCATTGGAGAAACTTTTTAACAAACAACGGGATGTCTACATGGATGAAGAGAAGACGATGCAGGTGATGATGGAGTTTAAGCAGGAAGAAGACAAGGAAAGGGAAAAAGAGATTATCAGGAAAAAGATGAGGGATGCAGCGAAGAGAATAGTCAATTCTCAACTTGATTGTTTGTTTGGCCAGGGTAAGTATGACAAGAAACTTAAACACATATTTCTATGGAAATAGTTCCAAAACAGCCAATTTTTGCACATTTTCAGACTAGTGTTCTTCAAAAATATATTTTGTGCTGGTTAAAAAATTCTAAAAGTCAATGACTGATTTCTAAATCAATGACACAAATAAATGTGACAATTTGTTTGACCTTATTTAAAAAGTTGAATACCTGCGACCTCAATGTAGAGGTCTTACAATAAATATGTTTAGATATTTTGGTACATTTTATGTAACAATTCGTGCAGCAAAATATTAAGAATTTGTTATGCATTGTTCCACCATTGAACGTCATAATTTTTCCTGTCCAACGTTTGAATGAATGATTTTGACTTTTCTTTTGTATAGCTTAATTTCTTAATGTTGTCTTTGAGAGGGGCATATTGTGTTGAGATTCCCTTACTTCATCAAAATTAACCATCATCAAAAGTGTATAGCATATTATTTGGCAAGAATTTAACCCAAAAACATTTTCGCGTTTGTTGAATCCCTCGCAATGTTTTGAGGTCACTACAACACTATGACTTTTGTTTTTTTCGTTTCACACAAAACACATGATCTCACAGTGAACAGAAAATGGTCTAATAACAATTTATTATGCGTGTCTTTATTACAAACCCTACTTGTATTTAAATGGGGAGGGGGTCCCTCTCTAATATTAAGGGTTATAGGATTAGGGCAATCATTCACTGAGGTTTATTTTGTGAAAGATCACAAGTTGCCTTTGTCGTTCAAATAACATTATCACCTTTTTGAGTTTAAACTGTGGAGTCAGTTTGAGTTCTTGGGTATTTTCCTGTGGCATTTCACAGAGAAATGAAAGTACTGGTATCAGATTCTGATTTTTACTTTGCAGATGAACCTTTAGAAGCCAGCCATCCAATGTATGCATTCAGACAGTACTATTCACAAGCTGAGAACAGCTACCAATCATTGCTGGAAATCAGGTATATTTTACTCTATATTAAAGGAAAATGAGCTGAATTTTTTGCAAAGTTTGCTGCACATATTTTAATCCATGCAATTCTGAGCCTAATCACAGTCCCTCTATAGAGGGCTTATTTAAAATTTAGTTCTGATTAAGACCCGGGTCAAATTTGCAGTACAATGAATTTATTATATATATAATAGAGCGTTACATCTACTGGCAGTTTGGATTAGTCCATAATAATACTAGTGTGCGAACTAGAGACATGGCGAATATATACACTGCATTTCTGCTCATTTGTCTATTTAAATAATGAAATAATATATATTCTTGGTGCAACAAAAGCACTCCTTCATCCTTATAAATATTTATTAATTTCAATGGTAGTTGAATCAGACCAGCCAATCAACAAACACATTGAAAACATTACAATGTTATTCAGTGGGCCAATAGAAACCTCTTGTTTCAGTTTGAATTTTGAAATCTGTAAATATTCATAATGATGAAGGGAATGCATTTGTTGAACCTAGAATAAAAGTGACAAGTAATACGTTTATTTGTGTGCTACTGGCATAGATTAAATATGAATGAAAAGAGACAAAAATTTAGTACCTAGACAAAAATTAATTAGTTTATAATAAGTTTGGTTTAGCTTAGTCCTAGTACTTCCTCTGCACAGCATGATATACAAGTCTTTTCCTATTTATTGCAGGCATTTTTGGGACAGTTTTCTAACATCTGAAGGTACATGTGGAGCATCAAGTATACCAGTTAACTGGGTTTTCCCCAGTGAATCCAGTAATGCTGTATGGAACTCGTATCTTGACAAAACTAGATGATTTTATTTTCTGTGTACAATAAATACGAGTTCTTTCTACTACTAAAGTGTGAGATCTTCATTGCATTGTCACCATGGATGGTTATGACAAGTTCAGATCTTAACTATTACGTCTATCTTTAATACATACTTTATTAGACTTATAATTCGGTCTGCGTCTGTGCGTCCGTTCGGAGTCATATCTCAGAATCCCTTGGACCGATTTCGTTCATTCTTTGCATGTGCCTAGTACCTTATGTGGAACATATGCACATGCAGTGGTTTAGTGATTCGATTCAAAATGGCTGACTGGCAGCCATCTTGTTTTTTGAAAATGTTGTATTTTGACATGCTTTGTCAGTTGTCATTCAAACTTGCTACATAGATTATACATGTAGTGATACATGTCCATGACGATTTATTTCGCAATTGGATCAAAGATGGTCAACTGGCAGGCATCTTGTTTTTTTTATATGCGGTATCTTGGACGTGCTCTGTCAGTTTTCATTCAAATTTAGTACATACATGTACTTTATACATGTTAGGATGCATGTCCATGACAATTTGTTTCAAAATCTGGTCAAGGATGGCCGATTGCCAGCCATCTGACTTTTTGGCCTTACTACTATATTTCCACAATTTATGTACCATTTTCATTCGTATTTGGCACATACATCATACATATCAGTGTGTTTCATAATCAGATCAAAGATGGCAGAATAACAGCTGTTTTTATTTTTGGTCATATTACTACTACACGGAACACGTGTTTTGATGTAAATAAACAATCTGTTGTATACGCCACTTGGAACTCAAGTTTCAAGGACATGCTCGGGACAACCCCTCCGCTTTAATATGATGAGCACAAAGGGAACTTTCAAACATTTAATGGGGACTGTGTCATTTTCAATGACTTGTTGAACAATACCGGTATATTTATTTACGAACATTTTAAGGCAGCTCGTGTTGAGTTCAAATTTCACACTACTGAGCATGTTACTACACATATACATAGTGCATTATGGGAGATAACCTGCCATTGTATATAGTGGAAAACTATCATCACCATGGAAACTCACTAAATTATGTCAATTTTTATTTTTAAATTAGGGTTCATGTCAGTAATATATGAATTTTTCATCCTATTGTCATTGAGCAAAAGAAATATGAAGAAATAATCTCACCTTAGAAACTTGTGTAAAAATGCCTGTTTGACCATTTGTCATGGAGGCTTGTATGTCAAAACATTGTCCAGGGACTCCATTTTATTTTTTATTTTTGGTATCCTGATGGCATGAACTCCTACTAAAAATATGATTAACACATAATCTTTAATTCCACTTGACCTTCTCAAGATAATTTTTTAATACATGTATTGATACGATACCTTTACAGTCAGGAATGTAGTAGTGCATCTTAACTTGTCAAGTATAAGCCTTTAAACCCATGTTTATGTATTTTACTATTTGTTCTTTCATTTTTTGACTAAATTAGCATAATTTTCCAGTGCTTGAAGGTTTTGATCAAAGTTGTTGAACAAATATGTGGGTTTCATTACAATCCCACCAGTAGAACAATATACACATACACACTTTTCAAACACTGGAAATGCAATCATAAGGTCAATGCAAACAAGGGACTGACTGGTGCCAAGTTAACAACCACAACGATCAAAGTAGAATAACTTTTGAATGAACAAAATCTGTATGATCTAAATATCAAATTTGTTCATTAGAAGCACATTTCAAATAAAACAGAAGGCAACAATTTTTATATATTGTATGTTGAATCATTAAAATAGATACACCTCTGTCTTTTATGTAAAGTGATGCGTTTACACTGTTAGGTATACTCTCTTTTCTACCTCCATGGGTATACCTATTTCATAGTATGAATATTGGCCCAGTAATTTGGAACAATGCCAAATTTAGTATTGTTGTGTTTGTAGTAAACTGAATACATGTAGATGCTCCAATTTTCAGAAAAATCTGTCAATGTCAATTAGCATAACTATTCTTGACTTTGTGCCAGGTCAGTGCCCAGGATGACTCAGATACTGAATTCCCTATTTTTAGACATTGCTTGAACACAGACTATATTATATTAGCATCACCAGTCATTTTCATTAATGGCAAATCTATAGCATTGCATCACAAGCTTATTAGTATTCCTTACTGCATGTATTAAAACATAACAGCAATATGCCAGCATTTACATGTAGGTCATTCACACAGTTGTTTACTGCTAACAAAAATAGGTCACAGTATATTGTCACATGATCTGTGGTATCTGTTGCAGGAATTTGCATACCAAATGATATTAAAGTTCGTTGGCCTCATGCCAGCTGTTTTCTTCCATGTAAACAAATTTGACCTGAACCTGATCTATGCATGACGTGAACCATTTTAATTTTGTGACACTAGTTTTTGTGAATTTTGCTGGTCTGGAAAAATAAAGAAACTTTCCAGCAGTGGATATTTTACAGATCATATTCACTGATAAAAATTGTAATATTCACAATTATTGCCTTCAGTTTTCATAGATTATGCTGGTCTTCAATGTAGGTCAGTCTGGGTTTATATTTTTGTTCTATTTCTGTTACCAGTAAACAAGTCATTATTGCCCATCAACCCCAACACACAAATCAGGCCAATCAGAGAGCTGTTTTTTTTTCAAAATTGCAAATTCTGCCTCGACTCGACTGCATTAATTTGGGAATTTATATGTTATACCGCATCAAATGCACTTAACCGTTTCAACACCACACATTTTTTACCCCAAATTTGTTTGCACTTTTTTTTTATAATATTCAATATTTATGGAAATGAACCCTAATAAATACATTTTCAGTTTTAACTCAAACCTGTCCCATTCTTCTGAAGAATTGTGCAGACTATAAACAGGAGTATTTTGTAAATTTGTGATGAAAAGTAGAGGTGAAACATGTATAAACTGGTGTAATAATTGGTTCAGTTTAGAGCCTCTAAATCAGGGCTAGAATTTCAGAAGCATTAAACACAATTGTACCAATGACAGAGTTTTTCTTGGTGCCTTGTGAAAAATAAATTTTCACCACTTTGAGTTTGAAATTGATGTCCCTCTGAAAGAATACAAATTACTGTCATGCACAGGGGTTATACTTGTGTGTTAGTACAATCCCTGTAAAAGCAAGACAGACCATTCTATAGGTATAGATGATAGCAGTAACTACATAATACACAACACACAGATGTATATAATATAAATAAGGCTCCTTTTTATTTTTAATAAATTTGTGTACATCAAAATGGAACATAAAAGGCATAAAAATAAATCCTTTTCGTAAGTTTTAATACCAGTGTCTATACCAACACGGAATAAAATTAGACACAAAGCCAATATGGCTGGTACGATATACGATATCATAAAAAAACAAAACAAAGAAGCTAAATTCAGCCCAGTGAATTTTTGGCATTGTTTAAATATTTTCAGATGCTAATTTTGTTGACCGTCTGAAGCTCCCTCCCATCTCACTATTTCATTCCATATCTCGTTGAATATTCAAAGTTGAGAAATTTGACAACTCACTAGCAAAGCTCACTACAAAAATAACAATTGAAGTCTTTCTTTCAATGTAGAGTATCTAGAGGAAAAAACAAATGACAAAAAACCAAATTCTCTTATTGCACAGAAAAATTGTTGATTGTTGAAAAGGTAAATTTGTTCTTTTCATAGATTTCATAGCCAAAACAGAGTGATATAATGTACAATTCACGAGTGTACCGTAGTTCATAAAGTCTTGTTCTCCCATACAATCTTGGATGGGAATAATTGTCAAATTGACATAATGGTTAAGTTTGTGAGTACTTGTGTCACTAAACGTATATATGAAAGTTTCTGATGTCATTGCCACACCGCTGCATAGTTTCCATGCAGTCCTGATGATAGTGGTCCACCCGCCAGGAAGAGCCGCGTCTTTGAGAAATCGTAGCAGTGTGTGTAGACTGCATTAGGATAGTAGACTTGATCAGCAAAATACTCATTGTAGATTTCGTCATGACGCTGAAAAGTGATGAAAAGAAGACATTTACACATATAGCAATAATATTACATTATATCGTGAGATGGTCATGTAACAGTCATACTATTGTATTCAACACATTGATAGCTAGCTAAGTAGCATTGCTACACACATACCATAATTTGAGGTCCCAGCAAGTCGGGCCCTTTATCGTTGAAATTTTGTGTCATCAAGATGACATAGATGGATAAAAGCAATTTCATTCAAAATGTTTGGTTAGGCGTGTAGCTGTTGAATTCTTTCAAAATATGTGCATTATTGACCGAAGACCACAGATCAAAACAACATGGATGCCATTTTTTGGGCACAGAAGTGCTTCGCGTTATTACATAAGCAAGCACAGGAACAAATTACAACCAAATCTGTGACCAAATAGGGACACCAAGCCAGACGGGAAGGGCATTGAAGCAATTGCCTTTGTTGTGTCAAAATTTTGAGGTGTACAAACTCGCACATAATTATTGAAATAAACCATTGGCAACTCAATAAATTAGAATACAATAAGGTGTCAATGTCTAGACTGCATAAATCAAGCATAGCAATAGCGGAATACGTAATGTATTTATCGAATTAGACAAACATTGATTACAAATCAAATCACTAATGAATACAATTCAAATAATTCATGTCAATCTATTTTTTTTTCTTCCATTCTGTTTTTGCTAAAAATGTAAGTTTATAACGGGTACTATATCACACTTACCAGGAAGCCAGTTCCTGTTTTTAAAGTAGCTGTCTCGCCCGAACAACATTCCATTTCTAAGTATTTTCCCGCTCTTATGTCAAAGAATCGTACGGAGCCTGCTCCAGTACCAATAGTAGCTATGTCTTCATTAAAGCTAATTGACCGTACACCTGGAAAAAAAAATAATATACATCACAAGACTGATAATATAATCTCAAAGTATGGGTTGAATTTTGTGGCTGTTCACCATGAAAAATGGTACTTAAAAACGTTGCTTAAAGCCCTTTCAAATCAAAGATTTCACTGAGTAGGCACTCATGCTTCATCACACAGATATCGCAGAGTCATGAATAATTTTGTTTCAGACATTTGTTAATATGGTAGAAATGTTTTTCACATTGACGAGGTGGCGTGAGGTGAGGTGAGGTGTGGTGACAGAATCGAAGGGGCAACAACAAAAATTACATCTGGGAACTTACCACTACCACTCTCCTTTGTGTAAATAGATCCGACAGACTTGAGTGTCCTTGAATCCAGAAACGATACATGCGATTGTGATCCCACTGCATAAAGTGACAAGTCATTTGAAATACAAAGACAAACATTTTCTCGGCAATATGGCAGTGAAGTTGTAAAACGTTGACTGAATCTCTGAGCATCCCACATGTGCATGAAACCATTGGTGGAAAGAACAGCTATCTCCTAAGTAAGGGACGCAAAAGAAAAATTCATCAAATTACTGTGACTCATAAATGTTTGGCAGATGCAATGTTACCGACTGAAATTAATGCACCACAATCATCAAGTTGGCGCAAACTTTGGCTTTTTTTTTATCTCCCGTCACTCGACATCAAAAATATAAAGATGGTCATTCAGATAAATTCACAATTACTGAAATTCATTATTGATTATACATATCATAATTACAATTTTCACTCAGCATGTGCCATGGTTTGGGAGTATATTCTGCGTATTGCGTTAACATTGATTTTTACCACAACACAGACAGTTTAACACAAATATTCATGAAAATGCACAAATTTTATCACATTATTATTATTAGCTATCACCAGATACAAAAATATGGGAAAACAGTCAAGATCACCGTCGACGAATCTTTTGACCATTCACAAAATGTTGGTGCGAAGCATGACATGTTGCTGTACAACTTGACCTGATAAGTGATTAGCCAATTGAAATGCCATGTGATACTGGCAGAATTTTCCAGGAATTTCTGAATAGATCAATGCAATGTGGAAGACTTTCACTTGTATCACTTGTTGGCATTGGTTTCATTGGACAAAAACGGCATGATTGGCATTTCAAAAGGAGTACAGTAGGCAGTATGTCTAACTTGACCTCAATAATAAAAAATTGTACAAAAGTAAATAGCGCTTGATTGGGCATAGATTCCAAATCTATGAAAGACAGTAGTGTATCTTACAAAATGCTTGTTGCATCCATCACACCAAAAGTTTTTTGTTGCAAAGATTTTTGAATATATTAACAAGCCAAGGGTACAATAACAACATAACTGCTTACTTGAGTTCTGCTGTTGAAGGCTACACTCCGAACCTTCTCACCCCCATCACAGGTTTTCTGGGCAATTGGCGTCATTCGTTTATGATTGGGAATCAAAACACCAGGATAATCCATTGGTCTGCACATATCACTTACAGACCATAGTGCAACTGAGTTATCTCTTGACCCTGCGAAAAGATGTCAGATAAGCATGAAGGCAAGGCAATGTTTGTTAAAGTTGCACCCAAAGGTCATCTTTAAAGATTTATCGTAGTCTTGCGATATATGATCTGAAATATTTATGCAAACTGGGAGAAATGTGTACCGAAAATCTGAATGATTTCCATCATAGTGGGAGATGGTTTCAGCTCCCCATTTGATCAAGTGCTTAAATTTCACTTGCCAACAATTACGAATAGTGTTTTTATTTCCTGTAACCTGTGCATACTCAAACTATCAACTACATCACGTAATAGTTCACATATACCAATAAAACTATAAAAATGATCTCAGAGTGCAATAGTCTTGAAGGAAGACATTATAAATGTAACATGAACTGATCACGGGATAAGAATCTTTCAATGGCCCTTCAAAACAATCAGATACATTGAAATTTGGTTGCTTTCCAAATATCAGGTTAATACCTGTACGGTATTAATTGTTGGTTGACCTTGAACTTAGACAGTTGCCCAATGAAGTGCATTGTTTGCAATAACTTAACCCCATATATATGACCCACCAAGGGACAATTACACCTCTAATAAACAAAAACAATTATAGGGGATCAGTGAATGGAGTAAACACCAAAAACATGGAATCTTGATCTGCACCACATATCGAGTCATCAACATACACATCTTTAAGGTTCAGACATTTTTAAATAGAATTGAAATAAGGGTATTATCACTCAAATAATTAATTAATGAAAGTTTCATAAATAAATTGTCTTTTAACTTTGCTATTTCACAAAAATCACAATGTTTGAGTCAGACACTAAACCACCACAATACTCACCTGTAACAAAAAATTGGTCATCCAACCATTCAATGGAGAATATCCAGTCAGTATGACAATCCTACGGAAACAAGGATGTAAATTTGTAGAACAGAAGGATACAATTATGTCACTGAACCCTCACAGATATAAACAACCTGTAACATACAACAGTCAATAAGTGATTGCGAGGTGGTTTTCAGATATATTAAAACTAATAGACAAACTTAATAAAAGAAAATATAGGAAGAACTCTTGTGTGCTGAGAGTATTGGAGACATAGTAAAAATTAATTTGCCTTTCAAACAAGAAACTTGGCAACTAATATTCGTCTGCTTTTTTAGATGTACATTTACAATATGAAAACAAGTGATCCACAGTATTTGAAATTTATAACTTAATAATATTAATAATTAGATAATCAATATGCATGTTTTTCATTATCAATCACATCTGTGGATGTATATAAACCCGAAACTAATTAAATTGTTGTGATGTCTTAAGAGAATTTATGTATATATTATGTATTTCATTGAAATGTGATGATCAGTACTTGAAATATCAGGGGAAAAACCAAAAATGTACTAATTATGCAAATTCTGTGAATAATATAAACAAATTTTTATTCAAATCTAATTAAGTCTGTGCATTGTCCTATGACATCTATGTATCAAGTTTCATTGTAATGTGATTATTAGATACATGTATCAGTGGAAAAGTTGAAAATTGACTAATTGTTATGCAAGTTGGTTCTTTAGATATCAGTGGGACAAACACCATATACCGTACTTATCCGGGTAAGAGCCCATGCCTGGACAAACGCCCACCCTCCACTTTTGACACAATAAAGAAGTTGAGGTCATATCCGGGCACACGCCCAGGGGGTCTTTTTCTACACAAAACAAAAAACAAAAACAAACATTTTCTATTTGTTGACTGTGGTTGTATTAACTGTTGACTTTCTTGAAGTCTGTCGTGATACTTATAAAAATTGTTAATTGCGTAAAACAAGGGGTGAACGCAAAATAGCTGTGACAGCTTTCTGCCTTCAGGGCAGCGCGTTCACCGCTGATTTTTTTTCAGAATCATAACAGTCAGCAAGTCTATAAAAATAAATATTACAGCAGAAACGGTAGTTCTCTTTTTGAAATATGCCGTGGCCCTAAAAAAGGGCCGGCCGTTAGGTGTGTGCTTCCTTAGGAACGATTCAAGCAAATCGTATAAGGAGAGCCGCTAAGCAAGTGTCGCACTCGTTCGGCTTTAGCGTCGTCAACAATGAAAACAATGTTGCAATATTGTAGCAATCCGTACCTGGGAGAATGGTTGAAATCACGTTATTTTGGCTTTATAAATATTTTGTAGCAGCTTGCGAATCCATAACTGGGACCAGCAATTTTGCAATGTCACGCCGAAGACTGTCGACTTTTTTACCATCTTTTATCACCGCTATTGCATTTCTGTCATGAAAACTATTCTTCAGTCGTTGGATAAAAAAAACTTCCTATTACAAGTCCACCGCGATATCCATGCAGTGAGACATTCCAACTGCCGGAACTTGCTGAATGATAACTTTCACCATGATTAATGAGTGTCGAGTCTGATAAGAAACCAATGTCACGATTTGACCTTTATGATGAAATACTAGCAGTGATGTCATTCTTAGCCAATCAGTAAAGCAGATGCATAAAGGTCAAAGATGATTGCTAGACTGTAAACAAAAGCATCGTGTGCCATCGCAGCAGAGCGACCCCATTTTTCTTGTCTCTTTATTATGATTAGCCATGAATGAAAAGTGCCAAGCTGACAGACTGCGAAATCCGTGGATTAAAAGTGCTAAGTCCAAATTGTGTGGGACAATATCGACGAACTTCAGGAATAAGTTTTAGGGATTTTGTTTGACGGCTACAGTGACGCCGACTTGGACATTTGAGGGTTTTGAGTTTGACGAAGATGGCAATGAACGTACAAAAAAAGATCTGAGAAGTTTTTTCAAACAGCTATGAATTTTTATAATTTTTATTGTGTAAATTTGAATTGATCTCGTATGACGGTTGATTCGTAATTTGTCGAGACTGGAAATCATTTTACGCAGTTTAACCCCTGACATTTTAATTCATTTTGTCGGTGGGAAAATCCTAATTCAAATGATTTCTCACTGTCGATTTTTATTATTTCTGGTTTATTTGTCACATTATAAGCAATACATTATTTTTGTTTTACTTCTAGTGTTGCATATTGTTCATTTATTTCCGTTGCATGTTTTCATTTGCTGTTCTATTCCCTGCCTCAGTTCGATCTGCGTGTTGTCAATTTTCGCGAATTTTTGTTTTTTTCGCCGAGGATCTCTTGGCAAACGCCCACCCCTTCTTTTTGGCAATTTTTCATGTTCAAGACCCTGGGCTTATACCCGGATAAATACGGTACATACATACATACATACAGACGCACCAACTGCAAAGACTCCCATGATGTGCTTTGCACGAGGGAGTCAAAAATGAAGATATCAGTCACAATCAAAATTTGGGAATTGATTGCCTAACAGGAAATTTACAACAATATCAAGAACTTACAGTGCCAAGACAAACTGGGTCAAAGGTTGGAAGCTGATAAACAGCTGGGCAGCTGGAGTCCTCTGATCCTGTCACTAGAAGTGTTCGGCTGGGATTTACAGTTATACTGTGAATTCCTCCTGTACGAACTTCTCCCTCTGCACAGTCAACACCCTTTAGAAGGGGAATTTGAAACCTTTGACTGGTATGCAAATCTAAAACCAACAGCTACAGAAAAAGAAACATGGTTACTAAAAGTTGCAGTCATGCCACATTGTATTTATTGTTGAATTAATTTATACAACATTTTAAGTGCACTGCATGTATTGTATTGTTTTACAGACTGAAATAGTTGACGGGACGAATTACATGTCTATATCAATGCAGCATATGTGAGTGGTGATGAGTTCGTAAATACTTACTGAATTGCACTTGGTGCCAACTATCACTTGGTTTTCTGACAGCCATTCTGATGTGAACACCTTGTTTACATCACCCAGCGACAACTCTTGCTCTTGCAAGAGCAGTGGAAGTTTTCGTGCACATAGTTTTGCTATGTTTTGAACTGGTGTAACACCAAGTCCAGACTGGCGATTCTGCGTATACTGCAAAACAGACATGTTCTTTCTCTCTGAATTGGGAGGCGTGTATTCTCTGGGCCTCGTTGGAATTAAAGCACTTCTGGTCTTCTTTGCTTCAGACGGACTGCAGTGCAGACAGTCACGCCTTGCGTTGCGACAAAGAAGTTACCTGAAAAGTGAACAATAGGATTCGACTACTTTCATTTTGCAACATCACATCTTTTGACAAACTGTCCTTTCCCTAGTTCAAGGTCTACAAATGTATACATTTATCACGGCGAAACTAAAATACAGTGAGAATCGGTTTTCCATGTGCGAAAATGAAGTAGCCCACATACTTCAATGAAATGAAACTTTATAGTGTTGTTAATAAATAATGTTAAACGTAGGATGAATTCCGCCAGTGCCCATCATCAACTTGACAAAACCACCCCACCGGCGGTCATTACCTTTACTAAATGTACTAATATTTTCACTACGCACGAAAGTTTGAATATTACATACATACATCGCCACAGGCACAGATATGTTTTTGCGTTCAAAAATGCATCACCCTTAAAATAAAATACCGTGGCCCCTGGAGCAACTGCAGAGTTCCAACTCTATTACAAACTTATAGTACTAATTATTAAGCATTTTCTTTGAACAGCAGTAAAATGCTAGCGGAAGAACATCAACATCAGAACAGGTCGGTGAAAACTGGAACAGACTGCAATTAAATACAAAATGGTGTGTGCGGACGTCACGCAGTCATACCCAAAAGCGAACTTAGTTTTGTTTTAGAGGTGATTTTCCCACTGGAAAAACAAATACAATACTTACGAATATAATAATCTGGTACAGTGATAGAAAATCCTTCAGATAGTCGAGTTCCGGCACTCAGCACAACATATTTCCTTTTTAAAATGCCATCCCAAATACGAAATGTACGATTATTTTACAGACCTCCGTCCTTCAACTGTTCTTCTGTGTTTATGTTGTTTTCACTCTGACCTTATTGAATATTTCAAACAGATTCTCAAACTGCGCGTGCGCCGTAAAATGGCCATGAAGCGACGATGGATGAGCGTGTGTGATTGGTTGAGAAATGTTTTTTGTATTATTTTGAAACACAAATATTTCTTTCGTATAATGACTATAATAGTATCTCATTGCCTGTGATACATATATAGATATCTTTCATTGTTGTGTGTCTTTTCCAGTATTTTTTCAACATAATTAAAGAAATGTAAACGATTTTAAAATATGAGCCGAGGCGCTCCTTCAACCAATGAAAAGTATTCTTTTACTGAATTTAGTCTGCAAATTCTAACCAATCAGATCACATCTTTAAGATTATTCTGGTGACGTCATTGTTATGCTGTAAATGCGCTTTGCGGTCGGTCAGAACCAGTTTTCACCAGAAACGCGAAGCTCGTACGTACTACGAGTATACAGTAAAAAACAAAGGCTGTGTAGACAAATGGCCTTGTACATGTTATGGAGGTAACGCACAGACGTTTCCCGCTTAAAACGCAGTGCCTACATATTACTTACTAGTAGTAAAATAGCATTGTGCGGAAAATCAAATTAATTCAGAAAAATCGAAATCTAAGGAAACTATAAATTAAAGATCTACAGTAAATTAAAAAAGAAAAGAATTCAAAACAGAGCAATAAGTAAAAAAAAATAGAAACAGTGATCACAATCTAATGATAGCAAAAAGCCGGCCCACAAAACCCAAAACACAAGTTGATGAAAGGTTTTGTGAAGGGTGTGACACTGATTAAAGTTGAGGAGCAATTTAACTTTTTTGATATACTGTGCACAACATACAAAAACCAGATCCACAGTTCAATTTGTTAAATAATGATACTAAGTTATTGACAAAAAAAAAAAAGTTGCAGTTTATATTAACGAAAGTTCTATTTTCTAGTTCTATATATATATTTATTATATTTAAACTACATATGTAACATTTTTTTCTTTTTTAAAATCGTTTTTTAGAATAGCATTTGACTAAGTTCTATTCAAAATTAATAATGTCAATACAAATATTACTATAGAGTAATATCTTTATAGGAATAGCCCCCGCCTTGTCGCAGGTCTATGTTCTTAGTAAATAACTATCATATCATTGCAGTACCGAATAATTATTCGATGATTTTAAACATATACAAGATTAATATTACAGAAAGAACGAGAAAAGAAAAAAATGTGTAGGTTATAAAGACGAGATGATCACAACAATCATGGTGGTATGCGTTGTTTGCCGTGTATACAATATTTTGCCATGAACTTGAAAAGGTTAAAATCCTGCTTTGAATTTATGCGCACACTGACCATAAAAAATAATGTAATACATTTTCTAGGCAATTACTTGCGTCAAGTACGCAACATTGAAACAAATTAAACGTCGCGTAATACTGTATCCGGAAATTGTGTGTGTCCGGGATATTATTGTTTGAGGGAATTTAAGTTTGACACATACAAATAGGAGAAAAATTCAACGCAACATTTTAGATTTCTTCCACTTCATGTTATTCACCTCAAAATTTCAACAGAAGAGCGGGAATGATCTTGAACACTGAATTACTAAAAACCAAAAAATGCAATATAAATGCAGATTCATTTTTTATAATACGCTAATTGAAAATAGGATAGAAACCTTTCTGAAATAATAACGAACGAACATACCCAAATTAAAAAATAAAAAAAGAGCAATTTTTGCTCATAATAGAGGAAAGAAAAATTACTCAACATCGTATTATGCTATAAAACAATGTGTATGGTAGAGAAAGGTACAATAGGTGAAAATAAAACCCAAGTTGCAAACTTTATCAGGGCTAAACCAAAGTCGAACAAACATTTTGACAGGAAATAACACTAACATGTACTTTATCATTTGGCAACTAAGGAACTAAAATGAGCGCAATAGATATGCTAGTAAAGATGAGCACTGCCGGATATCTTATGTGGAATCATGACGAGATCGGAAAGACGATATCGGTGTAGAACAGCGCCACCAGTGTCAGACCAGTTAATTGATTCCGTTTAAACGTTATTATTCCTTCGAGAAAATAAATAAATAAATAAATAATAAATAAATAAATAAATAAATAAATAAATAAATAAATAAATAAATAAATAAATAAATAAATAAATAAATAAAAATCCGAGCTCGTATTTCAAAAGTGTGGTTGCACAGACTGACTGTTTATATTGGTTATTGATTATAGATGAGCAAATTTAAATCGATAACACAAAACCACAAAACTAAACTAGACATTCTTAAATTTATACTTGAATGAATTTGGTCCTGCATATTCTGTCTGAGGTACAAGCTGACTTGTGCATGCGCAGTTATGCACTGAGCTACGGCAATAACACGTTGAATATATGTTATTTCTTCTATCACATACAACCTTTCTTTTTAAAGCGCGGTGGTCGTCACGCAGCGCGTGTTCGAATTTCATGTAAATATAAACAACGTATTTTACACACGTTGTATACGTCGCTATGAGTCCCATATCGATCAGAACGCGGCACAACGACTGCCGCTCTTTAACTGACAACTCTGACTTTAGTTAAACCATGGAACTATATAGTTCCATGGTTAAACATATACATTCTAAAAAATATTGTACAATAGCTGTCTTGAATTAGCCAGATCGCTAACAAATATCAGCTTATGTACTAGTGCATGGTCACGTGATGATTACGGCTTATAAACCACGAACACCAAGCTCGATGCTACTACACAGGAGCTTATTTCACAGCTCAAGCCAGGCCGGGTGCGTCCATTGGCCTTTCAGATTCGCTATCAAAACAGGATTTCGAGCAGCCGCTACGGGATAGGATTTCGAAGAGGACGCAACTTCGACGAATAAAATGTATTGATGTTTTGTGAATAGAGAAACTAGCGTCAGCTAAAAAAAAAAAGAAATACCCTCGAAGATCCAAAGTAGCCAATTCCGGGCTTGAACAATACAATCGCTGAAAACACAACACTGAATCGCAACATGAAGTCGCGTATATTGTGTATCCAAGTTGCATCATCCTCATCAACATAATACTAAGATAAATTACACGTTCCTATTCTGTTGTCCATGCGTGTATAGCAGTACCCAATTGAATACACACAATATAGCACTGCCCCCGTGCGTGGCACTTGGTCTACAGTTTGATAAGCATGTACGTTGCAGAATGCATGTGAAAAAGGTGTTTCATTTCGTTTCGTTGCGTGATTAGGGTTACCAAAATATCTATTTTCGGAAATAGGGTATACAAATGTAATGAAATATGAATGTCTTCTATCAGAGTGATATTACAATGACTTCATATACTTTAATCCATAAAAATGCTAATATTGTATTTGAACACTCACTGAATTAATAACCATGAACGAGTTCAACCCAATACAAATGTATAACCATGTAACGTCCAGGAACACATGATATTCCACGTGTTTGGCTGAGTTCTCCCTCTCTGCAAAGTGAATCCAACGTGAAATCTCATAAAATCGAACAAAATGCGGACACATTCGAGTGCATATTAATCAATTCGAGTGAACAATATCTATTTATATTATAGAATATAGCTCTAATAACATTATCTATACGTTTTTTCAGATTAATACAAGTAAAATCCAATACAAATCGTCAGACATCTAATGGTTTCCATTAGATATATTAGACACTCCGTGAACCACCAATTTCCAGTTTTGGATAATCTATTCGCTGAAGTCGTGCAGTTGTATGTATCTAAGTTGCATCACTCTCACCAATATGTGGATAATAAAATAAAGCACACTTCCTGACTCGCAGTTCATGCTTTTGCACAAAGCTTACTTTCATTGGCAACGAACCAACAAACTTATTTGTGACTGTGAATTAAGGGAATAAAGGTGTCAATATGAAGTGATCTCGCGATAAATCCCAACATAAAGTAGTGAAGTCCTATGCATCATCCTCATCAACATAATACATGCATAATTACCATAAAGCAGGCATCCTGTCACGCCGTTCATGCTTGTGTACAAAACATACTTTCAGTGGCGACGAACCGGCAAACTTGATGTGACTGTGAATTAAGGAGGTAACTACTTCAATAAAAAGTTATCTTACGATGATCACTTTGAAATAAACACAGCGCTGAAGCGCAACGTTAAGTCGTGTGTAGTGTATACAATTTGCATCATTCTAATAACATAATACATTTATATAATACATTTTTTTTATTCCGATTATTATTATTATTATTATTATTATTATTATTATTTAACCATTACTTTAGTCTTAATGTTTTGTATTATTAGTCTAGTTTTGTTTAGTGTAAATGTAACCATTTTAATTCCTCCTGGGGAATTTTACGTGTTTAATAAAGTATATAAGTATATATAACGTAAAGCACACGTTCCTGTCTTGCTATCCACACGTGTTTACAAAACTCACTTTCACAGGTGACAAACCAGCAAACATATTCTCGTGGCTGTGAATTTGGGCTTGTAAAGGTGTCGATAAAATGTAAACTTACGGCGAATACGATAGAAACACAGCACTGAAATTCATCAACATAATTCAGGCATAATTAATATAAATAAGCTTATGAGAAAACATACTTTCATTGACAACGAGCCGGCGAACACATATACATAGGTTGTAAAAGAGTGTTAGGGGTGGAGCTGGATGAAAAATATATTTTTTGAGCTATATTTCCACGAGGTTAGAATAGTTTTATTTTCACATTTTACATGTTCCATTTATTTTTGGCAACATAGAGGGTCGGCAAGGAGTATTTTTGTGAGCTGTAATCAATTGTTTTTTTATTTTCGTAATAATGTAATTTAAATAAATAAAACACGCAAATTTGTAGACATGGACAAGGTGTAAAATGTATTCAGTTATTTTATTCGTCCGTAATTTGTACAAAGATCTAAGCGTATACATCATTTTACAAATTAAATGTACGTCGTAATTCGTACGCAATTTCCAATTTTGATTCCTAA